CTCTTACAAATGCCATACGTAGTTCACAAACCGCTAGAGAGTAATGTGTGTTAGAAAGAGATAGCATTAGTTTAATATGTCTGCTGTACAATTCAAATGGCCACGTCGAAAAAGTACGTCTGTTCTTCTAAGGGATGTCACTCTATAATTATAACCTCAAATCGAAACGTCTTGTGAGCGTTGTCATGAATCTGTTAGTGTTTTCACAAGCCGAAAATGTTTTCTTTCAAAGGAAAATCATTAAATAATATCTTTGACAATGTTTGACATATAACCTCCATTACTAACATAACCTACATTTAAATGTATGTGGTGAAATAATCTAAGTCGTACGTCCATATCTTGATTCATACCATTTTTAAGCGATCTGTCACTGCCAGCTCTCGTGGTTTCTACTATATCAGCGGTTCTCAAAAAACAAACACAAGTTTTTGAGTGATTTAACAAATTTTTAAATAGCCGTAACTGCCATATTACAAAGATTTTATTATTGGTGCTAATCTGGCATTGCTTAAGTAACCCCGAAATATTCGCAGTTTGAAATTAAACGTAGTGTAATACCGTATATCGTAAGAAATGCTGGGCAATTAATTCAACTTTAATGCTCTATATCTTTGTGATTATTACGTTGTAGTCAAAACATTATTAAGAAAATATCTTCAGTTTGGCCCCTAGTACTTGCTCTTTTAATCTGCTCCGTATGTTATAAATCACCCTGTATACAAAAATTGTTTACATACCTCTTTTAAATTTAAAAAAAACTGTTGAACCAGAGATTTTTTTTGAAAATACCAAAACCGTTCCGATTGCGTATAAACTCTAATCGGCGTTTCGATTTGAAAACGAACCGGTTCTTGAATCCCCCTTATCACCAAATCGACAGCCACCGTCATGTATTGTTTCAGTTCTTTTGTCTGATTCGATTTCGTCTCGGTATTTAAGGGCTCGAAAGCCTCTTCGGTTGGATCCCATAAAGCCGAGATCATCGTGCACTGCCGATCGTTGCCGCTTTGATTCGAATTTCCCATTTGTACCTAATTTGAGGTTAAATTAACACTTTTAAATGAATTTATGATGAACAAAATAAAAGTAAAATTGTATTTTTTTAATTTCTTAAACAAACCATTTCCAATAATTGCATATCGGAGTGTCGAACGTGTCTCCCGGCGGCCACTAAAACCCCAAAACACCTTTCGATATACAATTGAGGTCCATTATCGGAAACGTGTTTTATTGTTAAACATAATTGTTTTTCTAGGTTACTTCTTAACTTAAAACCACTTCTATCTTTCGCTACCGTTGAAAAAGCTCCCTTAAATAATATTAAAATAAATAATTTAAAAAGTTAATAATTTCCTTTAATTTATTTTTACTTTTCCTTCATCTTCTTTAATTTCTAAATTTACTTCAAACACATAAACCAGGGTTCTCGCCTCGGAAATAGTTGTTATTGATGCGGACATATCAGCAGCGGAAGCAACTGAACTACTCATTGAACGAGGGACTCTTTGAAATGCTTTGGCGAAACAAGCGGAAACTCGACTGACCGCCTCGGCGATATCACACCGAAACACGTGACATTGGAATATAGCAGATTCCTGGGTATCGCCGTGCGACCACGTAAAAGCAAAACAACTCGCCTCTTTACTCTCGGCGATTCCGCGAGCGTAAAATAAGATTCTTTGGATTTCAAAACGGGAAATAACAGAATTTGTTATCGCATCATATAATCTAAAAAAAATTTAAGATTATTAGGAATTTAAAAAAATAATAATTATTAATAACTCACACAACGAATCCTTGAGATGAGGAGGGAACGGAAACGGAGACTTTAATACCTTGATCGGTGGTTTGTTCGTTTAAAACAACCATATTTCTTTGGATTTCTGTTTCCGATTTGGGAGCGTTTATTGCTGCGGCTCCTAAATATGTGACACCGCTAAATATTGTGCAATCTTGATCAACATCGGACACTAAAACGAAAAAAAAATTTATTATAAAAGTTTTAATACTAAAGAATTAATTAAACCTACATATAACCATTTTCTTTTTTTACTTTAAATCCAACCCAACAAAATAACGAGTTTACAACACAACTAAACTATCTTTATGAGTCGGAAAGCATGTAAACAATTTAAAAAATTCAAGGTTTCAAGCCGCGTAACATAGTAGTTTTAACTAAAAATGCAATGTTATGTTTATTAAATGAAATAAATTAGTACTTTTTCGAATTAACTACCATATTTCAGTAATGGTAGTTTTGTGACGCAAATCAGAACTTTAGCATCTATGTAAATGTAACGATTATTACCACTACTTTCGTTTTCATCCTGTTATTGTAATCATAACGAAAGCGCCCACTGATTACGATTCTATCATTTGTAATAATTTATTTTTTATTGAAATAGGATAATTTCCCATAGGGAAATCTTTTTCGTTGTTTAAGTTTTTGATGGAAAAACTTCAATATAATTCAGAACGAAGAATGGAAGAGGTTATAAACCGAGTTCAAATTTTGTACACCTACTTCCCCTTTGACAAATAATTCCTTATACTTCCTACTTATATTCCTAGTATTTCCCTGTACTTCCGTGTATTTCCTCATAATTCCTTATACTTCCCGATACTTCCCCGTACTTCCGTGTACTTCCCCGTAATTCCTCTTACATACTCGTACCTCGTCTCCCTTCGGACGGCATATCCACGTGTGTATTTAAGTAAAACACCCAAATAAAAGTCAATAAAAATTAACATATATTCTTTGGCAAATAAAAACATTGAGTTTTTCTATATAAAAACAGAAAATAATAATACTGACAAAACAGTATTAAAGCTTTTTATAATTTTGTTTGAAAGCTTTGTATAATTTCTTTATTTCTACATCATCATGTCTGCTAATTTGAAATATGCCGTTACCAAGTAAAGTTCGTTTAGTAAAGAAAAAAAGTCTGTTATAAATAGTTGATTATTGTCAATATTGTCTCTTTTGCGTTTAGATATTTCACTTCTTCCGTATTTTTCTAATTTCCATTTTGAAGAGCTAGTCTGGGGAGAATTATTACGAGTAACAATTTTTCGTGTAGGAACTCGTGTAAGGGTGTCAGTCGAGATTTCTTCTGAGGAAACATTTTCTTATCGGTTTCCGAGGCGGTTTCATTAAAGTAAATATTTTCAATACTCTTCAGACATTCATGATGAGATGTGTCAGTACGGTCAACAGGTGTTACGAAAATATTTTCTAGTATAATAATCTTTTGTGAATTATTTTCAACTGAAGAACTTGCACGTGAAGAACACGGATTTGGGTTCAACGTAAAATAATCAGTAATTGATGTTTCCCTGCGTTTACTTTCAACAATAGTTGCCGGCGCATTAATTTGATCGTTCGTATGCGCAGTAATATGTTTACTTAAAAAATGTTTATGAATATTAGCATATATCCATCTTGGTTGACAAGTGTCTTTTTTGGACACCTTTTGGATTTTGCAACTTTGACCATAAAAGCAAGTCACAGTGCAAGAAAAATGTTTATCTAATCCTTTTTGAATTTTTAGGCTTATACCATTACATTTTGATTCAAATATTAACCATTGTTCCTGACTAACTTTTGTTTTAAGCCAGCACTTTAGAGCTTTTAATATAACGCACTTTTCTGTTTCCTGATCTGTAGCTGCAGTCTCACTTAATGGTTGTGCTGAGGGGGGTGGTAATGTCTGCTCAGAAATGTTTTCAGTTATGTCGGTTTGCGTAGACTGAGTCGATATTTTTCTCTCGTATTTGGATTTATAAAATTTGGAAATTAAAACTATTTGTTTTTTCGTGCCAGATAGCAATTTAAATTGCTGCGGATTATTTTTAAAAATCCCGTAAAACAAATTTTTTTCTTCCAAAGTTAGTAATTCATGGTAGTCATTTCTAATAAATGCTTCTATTTTTTCTAGATCATTTTCGTCAATCGTACCAAGCAGCACCTCATTATCAAATCCGCTAATAATAAGAATTTCCTTAACATTTTCATTTAATTGAAATTGTAGAACATTTTTGGCCTCTTGAAAACAGCGATAGCGATTTGCCGTCATCCTGGCGCCTAATACAAAACAGAATTTACGAGCGAATTTAGTACCATTGACTCTTCACGATATGTTAATATAAATTTAAATTTTAATATGATACTCATTCAATCTTACCTTTGAATGAAAACGATGCTTCTACTAGTAACAATTCACACACCTTTTATGAAACAGAAACTGCGCACCTAATACTAGATCTAGCTTGTTTATGGAACATCGTAACTTCGATCGTTAGATATCGTGTTTAATCGTGTTCGATCGTGATTCAATATATTCCCAAATTTCCCTAAATAATTTCCCGTACTTCCCCAATAATTCCCCGTACTTCCCCAAACTTCCTCGATAATTCCCCGTAATTCCTTGTACTTCCCCGTAATTACTCGCATCTCCCCATAATTCCCCAGACTTCCCCGTAATTCGTCGAACTTCCCCATAATTCCTCCGCATTTCCCCTATTTTGTACACCTACTTCCCCAGCGGTTTACCCCTCGTTATAAACTTTCTTGTATGCGTTCACCGACATTTATCGTGAACAGATCAACGCTGCAACATTGTCTTGACTTCTTGGTAGGCAACGCAACTTGGATCTACATGTTGAATGCGGCGTTCTGTTCGTTGTTAGTGCAGAGACTCGAACGTAATCTTCTTGCTGAGTGGACATAATAAGCAACCAAATGGATTCAGCCTGGACTTCGCTGAGTGAAGCGCTGGACTGTTCCGTTATACTAAGAAACCTATATTGATTTGGAGCTGATCCTATGGTCAAAGGCGTAGATAATTAAAAAAATATTGTCTCCTATGCAAGAAAAAGAATAAGTATATCCTATTGCTGATAATCCTCTCAAATTAACTCCAATACTGATACCGTGATCGGCGGGAAATCCCCCTCAATATCTGAGTGGCTTGTTTTAATTCAAAAATATTCCAATATAATATAGATATTAGAACAAAGACGTTGATTCGTTGATTTGCGAGTTCATTCTGAATTAATGATGGCTATACAGACTACAATTTTTAAGTGCCTATGTACAGATGACCGAAATTTGTTGTCCGCATAGGCTATCTGCGAAACTAAACGAGATAAAAGTAGCAAAGTCTAGAATCAAAGTAGCTTATATGTCATAATTTCGTTTATTGAGAAACTGCTAATGCTGAAAACTCCAAACAGCTATTGTCTTTTGTTTTCATCCTCTCAGCAAAAAGTGGAAAATACTACGAAAACGATAAACGCGAATACCTCACTTATTACCAAAGATGGAGTGTTATAATTAAAACATTGTATGGGGAACTTTTTGTAAAGATTTCTGTGGAGTAGGTTCTCACGTTTTATTTTCGTGATTTTACAAGTAACTTCATTTTTTTAAATACAAACCATAGTTGGGTATGGTCTAAAATAATTCGTTATTTTTTTCTGATAATAAATGTGTATAGTTTGTTGGGTATATTGCTTATAGTTATTGAATAATTAACAAAAACTGTTTTTGATCCCTCTTTTTATACATATACAACACTTTATTAAAGAAACTTAACTGTAATTGAAATTTCATGAACGCAATTACTGTATTTATGGGTTCGGGGATTGTTGTGGATCGTAAATGATAAAGAGAGATACATTAAACAGACACACAAAGTACTAGCACATAATAGCTATGCTGCTAGCTATTATTCTCCAATCACATCATCATTAATTAACTTACCTTCTTCATCACTATAATCTGGTTTCATATCATCCTTTTTCTCTGTCGGTGAAATTTCTGTGGGAGCACTTAACGGATCAGTTCCAGGTTCAACTGGACTATAAAATCTCGATTGGCCAACTTTTCTCGGTTCTATCCCCTCAATAACTTCATTTTGAAAACCCTCCGATTCCCGTAAAACCTCACTCATTGTAATTTCGAGTTCTGTGAATCCTCCGCCGATGATATTCAAGGTTGGCGTTTTACTTGCTCCCGGTTTATCTGATACGAAGTCAAATTCGTCGCTGGTTGCTATTGACTCGTTAGATTTTACGCTAAGTCGATCTTCCATAATTTCATTAACCCTCTGAAATTCAAATGATCATTTATTTTATTAATGTTTAAGTTGGGTTAATAAAGTTCGTAAAAAACTTACATGAATTAAGATTATTTTTGTGTTATCGCGATTAATTCGGAATTGCGATTCATTTTGGTAGGAAAAACACTTCTTTTTTATCTTTTTGCAGGTCAATTATTATTTTGAATAGTGTTGAATAATATTGTTTTGACGTTTCTTTAGAATACTAAAGAATATTTTTTGACAGTTGACAGATTTATTTGTTGATTAATTAATAGCGTGAAGTTAGTTTTAAGGAAAAAATGTTACTATTTTTATTTAAACTATATTAAATTTGTTTTGAAATCAGTTGATTAGCTTTTTTTAATTTCTTAGTGTAATACAAAATCTAAAATTTAATTAATTTTTAATAGTTTATATTCACAAAAATTTTATTGATAAGTACTACATAAATAGGACAAAAACAATGATTATTATCGATCCTCTGGCAAAATATACGGCCCTGCTTTTGTTCTCATTCCAAAGCTGTAACCTTTGGGGCCCACTGTAGGCAATTTTGGTAAATACTTTGGACCGGGGCTCACTATCTTCCTTGGGATTTCCTTCGTTCTACCACCGATGGAATATCCGGGTGATGAGCTTTTATAAACATTCAACTTGATGGTATCGTAACCGGCCGGACCTGGTGATCTATTCGAGGGCTTTTCGTCCCTTCTCAGTGGGATCGTGTAAGCCCTACCTGCTTTCATTTCTTTCATACTCCTCACCGAAGACTGCATTATTTTTTTTATCAAACAAATTTAAACAAAATAGAGATCTTAAGAAAACATGTTCATAAAACTATCACTGAATTTTTCATTTTTGACATAAATTTGTCAACATTTTTATTTATTTAAAGGTAACCAATCAATATTTATTTTTTTTGTTAATTAAAAATATCCAGATATCAGATGTGCTGTTGATTATGTTATTAATATTTCGTTTTCATGATTAGGTTACTTCTTTTAATATCAATCTAGTTCTTTCTCATATCCTATTTTATGTTTTTTATTCTTCATAAAACCATTGGGATTTAATGCAACAGAAATTTAGGCAGTACCTATAATATATGCTTCATAGTGGTACATAATTAGTTGGAACATATCTTGAAGAGGTGGAACTGTAATCTCTAATTTTACAGTTAGAAGAGCATTTCGAACAACTTGAAGAATATTCAAAAATAAACGCCCAAACAATATGCAACTTCTTATGCAATAACTTTTGTTTCTAACTTTGATTTCTACCATTGCTTGATTTTATGATTTCTTAATTCACATGGTATTGAAAAGACCATTTTGAAACAAATCTTTTTTGAATCATAAACAACAGTTACCGATTGTAACTGCCCCAATGCGATTGTACCTTAACCTTGAATAGATCTATAAAATACCTATGCTTTGGCGCAGACGCAGTTGTAAGCACAAAACAAACTTTTATTGGAACCTGCAAAGCAAGTGGTACAATCCGGTTTTAACAGCTTTGTTTACCTGTGCGGGGAACGACGTCCACCATTTTGACTGTGCGTCCTTTTTATTATCATTTTATTTATAAAAGTTAATTCGGACCTTATTCTTAAACAGGAAGCCGAAAAGAGTGTTGAGGATCGTCCTTGGGAGTAATGGATGATCCGTCAAGGATGATGGGGCACACTGGAGGCGGCCTAATGGCCCCGCAACCCTACCCGATGAATCCCCAAGGCGATGCCCCCACCGGTGGCGAGAACGAGCCGCGCAAACAAGACATAGGTGAGATACTACAACAAATAATGAACATAACAGATCAGAGTTTAGATGAGGCCCAAGCACGCAAGCACACGCTCAACTGTCACCGTATGAAACCGGCTTTATTTTCCGTTTTGTGCGAGATCAAAGAGAAAACGGTTTTGTCTTTACGTAATACGCAGGAGGAAGAACCCCCGGATCCACAATTGATGCGATTGGATAATATGTTAATAGCAGAAGGTGTTGCGGGGCCGGAAAAGGGAGGGGGCGCCGCGGCAGCAGCCTCCGGTTCAGCAGCAGCTCAAGCCGGACAACCAGATAACGCAATCGAGCACTCAGATTATCGCGCGAAATTGGCCCAAATCCGACAGATTTATCACCAAGAACTTGAAAAATATGAACAAGCTTGTAACGAGTTCACCACTCACGTGATGAACCTTCTTAGAGAGCAGAGTCGCACAAGACCCATCACCCCAAAAGAAATCGAACGCATGGTGCAGATCATTCACAAAAAATTCTCTTCAATTCAGATGCAACTAAAGCAGTCAACGTGCGAAGCTGTCATGATTTTAAGATCGCGGTTTTTGGACGCGCGGCGAAAGCGGCGCAACTTCAGCAAACAAGCCTCTGAAATCCTGAACGAATACTTCTATTCACATCTATCAAATCCGTATCCGAGCGAAGAGGCCAAAGAAGAGTTGGCCCGTAAATGTGGCATTACCGTAAGTCAAGTTTCTAACTGGTTTGGCAACAAGCGAATCAGGTACAAAAAGAACATAGGGAAAGCTCAGGAAGAGGCTAATTTGTACGCCGCGAAGAAAGCTGCAGGCGCGTCACCATATAGTGGAACACCAACGCCGATGATGTCTCCAGCGCCTCCCCAAGACTCCATGGGGTATTCGATGGGTTCGGCTTATGATGGATCCGCTTATGACGCCAGTAATTGTGGTTATGACCCTATGCATCCCCAAGAATTATCACCATAAACAATTATTATTTGGGAAATTATTTGGTTCAAATTTTTTTAAATTTTTGAATGTGTATTTCAAATAATTTTCCAAAAAAAAAAGATCTCTCCCATATATTACTTTGTAAGTATTTTCTTTAATGTTACTTTTTTTTTTCTTCATTTTTTATAAAATAATTAGGTTCCTTCCGTTTTGTTGGTGGCTAGTTTTTTGGACAATTTATGGTCGCTTAGATTATTGGGGTGGACTTTTGCGAGCGCCCGCCGGGCCCGTTGGCGGCCCCCAACTGCTGCGTACGACCCGGTTGACACAAATACGAAAAATCGGAAAAATCGAAAAAGAGGGCAAAGTCCCGGATGACACGCACACCTAGAAACTTGACTTATGGTAATGCCGGGCCGTGCGCAGCCAGTTGGGGGACTCTCGTCCTCGCGGGGTCCGCTCGCGGTCGTTCGCAAAGCTCCATCCGGTGTGAGTGTTCTTAGATTGTCACAATCCACCCGGAAGGAATTATTTTTTGCCGTCTTTGTATACGAAACTGAAATAATTAAAAGAAATAATGAGCTGTATAAGTATTTAAGAGATATAGATGATTCAAAAAGTTTAGCTACTGTCTGTGTATTCTATCTTAATGATTTTTTAGTGTCCAATGTAATTTTTGTAATTGTAATAAAAATAATTAAGATTGTCTAAGTATATTTATTTCTATAAATTTGAGCTGTCTATAATTTTTTATCCAATTATTTTGAAATTATTCGGGAAATGAAACACTTTAAATAATACTAGTGTAATGTAATTTATTTATTAATATGTGCAAATACTTTAATTTATAACAATTTAGTTATGTAACAAACCAAATTGAACACAAGAATTGTTAAAACCTACTAAAATCAATATTAGTCAGATAATCACTATAAAAGTAATCCTAGTATATTAACTTCCTAAACAAACACATTAAAATTACTTCAAACCACAATTAAAATAATTATTAAGACAACTTAATTAACTAGAGATGGACAACTTATTCATTATAACACTTTCAGATTTAATGTACTCATCAACAATACTGGTTTTATCTAAATTAGCATCTACGATTAAAATAGGGGCTGGACAACTATATGCACTCTTATAATAAAGCCATTTTTCATGAACATCATGTAACTTTGTCAAATATTCTAAAGAAACCGTCTTCTCTTCATCTCGATTTCTTTGCAACATTCTTTCATACACAACATCAGGGCTTGTCCTGAGATAAATCACCAAATCCACTTTTGCTTCAGGTTTATTTTTCACCCAATTAAAATATTCATCAAGTACCTCAACAGAAAGAGACGGCATAATCCCTTCACTTTGCATGTTATCAACAAAACAGTATCGTACACTATATATTGATCTTTCCATTACTTTAATACTTGTGTTAGTTTGTAGTGAATGTTGTCGTATCATCGTGAGAAGAACATATGATTGGAATGTAAATGACCAACGTTTTGGATCTTCATATAATAAAGCCTGTAATTTTATAACATTTTAAGTTAATATTTCTTTTAGGATGAGTGAACTTACGAATAAATTGGTACCTCCGCAATTTCTCCACAATTCTACTGGTTCAGATAAAACACTTATACTGGGATTTTCTTGAAAATGATTCAAAAAAGTCGACTTTCCACTTCCAATATTTCCTTCGACTACAACGGTGTATGGACGATCCATATCTTTTGAATAGGACATCACTATTTATGCTAAAATTGCTTAAAATAAAATCGCAGTTAAACTAATTTGTTGTAACCTTTAAAACAACGTTGGCAATGTTTCCCGCTTTATTTTATCCGATTCTCGTTAAACTACACTAACACCATCTACAAACTATACATCAAAATAATTCTTACAAAAAATGTATAAATTTAAATCAAAATATTATTTAAAAATTTAATTATAATTTTATTGTTAAATTATGTTTTTTATTTTCAAGTTATATATCAAAAATTATTATCTATGAGTAACAAAAATATTTAGGTAATTTCAAAAAGTGAAAGGGTAATGAACCATTAACCATTGTGACCAACCTTGTACATTAGAAACGTTGCTATGGTTTTTGATGTTGTACACAAAATATAAAGAAAATAACCTGCAAATAATTATTGAAAATGTCAGAAAATCATAGTTTATTACCGAGAATTGATAATAACAGAGACGAAGAGAGCTCCTATGATGAATTAAGCGATAATTCCAGTTGTGAATCTTATTATTCGGATTCAGAAAGGTATCGAAAAATAATTTTTAACCCCATCATTTTTTTTAACCTAATTTTAAAAGCAATTTGTGAACTTAATCTCATAGCTGGGTTGGTTTTGTAGCGTTTAAACTAAATTGGTTGAGATTACTACGTTGTGGGACATTATCTTTCACATTAGAACACCTGTTGGTTCACGAAGACTAGAGCAGACGCCTAGGGGTTAGGCTTTATTTAATAATTTAGTTTTGTTCAACACTTTTTAAAGAGTAACTTTAATATAATTCAAATAATTTTTTTCAGTTCAATTCCTGAATGGGAATCAGCATTAGATCAATCAGGATACCTCCTATTCATCGATTGTCACCCATTTACAAAACAAACCTCAATAGAACCAAAAGAAGACAATTTCGTAAAAGATAAGCTTCGACAAAGTACCCGAAGTAAATTTTTAAAACTGTTAAGACGCCGCGATAGTAAACGTCGCAGTAAACGATATCGAAGTCAAGATACCTCTCAAGATTCCAGCTCAGCGAGTAAAGTCACTTTTCAAGATTACGAACACGGCGAAGTAAAAATTGTTAATGTTTTTTTAAATCATGATGCTCGAACGGCTTTTGGACGCCGATCCACTTTAATTGAGAATTTATTGGGGATTACAGTGAGTCCTTTCCCGAATAGTAACCGAGTTATGGTTGCGGGATTGGAGAAACATGACAAAATTAAAATTGGGGATTGGTTGAAAACAATCGAAAACATAGAGGTTAATGTAAATAATATAAATAACGTTTTGGAGCAATTTTCAAATAACGAAACCGTTTTGTTACATTTACAAAGAGTAGCGGCGGTTGAAATTACGAATCAATCGTTTTTGAATAACAAACAATCGAAATTTGTTTACAACATGTTGAATTTTGATGAAGAATCCGTTGAAAATTTATGGAATTTGCCAGTTGGGGTTTTGATGATAAACACGAACAACTTATCCGAATCTGATTCGGAATTTCAAGATGTTGTTTACGCCTTTCCGAAACCGTTTAAACAAAACCCGTTAAGTCAATCCAGGGGATTATTTATTACATTGAATCATTTATTAAACGACATCACAAATTCAAATCCCCAAATAACGACGTTTTTATATAAAAACACTTTAACTCATGTTGTTTACCAAAATTACGATCGAAACGTTTTGTTGTTTATGTTGCCCGATCGTGGCGCGTCAAAAAGAGAGATTAAATTAATTCACGCCGATGTTATAAGAAATCTTGAATTTACCTTTGGGTCAATTGATCGTTGTTTTTCTAATGAAGAAAATTTTAAGCGGTTAGATCACTTTTTCTTGTTGTTTTTCCAAAGGATGTTGGAATTTAACGAAAGAAGTAATTATTGTTTTGAAAATTTATTAAATGGTGTTGCTTATATGTCGTTACCAAATGAGGTGCAAATGCAAATCGATGATGCTCTCACAGAAATGGAGGCGAGTGATTACAGGGATTGGGTAAAATTAATTTATTTATATTAATTCATTTCATTATTTTTTTTTCTTATAGAATGAAGAACCGTTGGATTGTCAACGCTTATTTACAATATTAGGGAGCGCTTTGTACCACAACGGTTATCTTTTAGCATCCCATTTCATGCACGACGATCTAAAAGACATCCATTCCTACTGCCGACAACAAAACTTTTTTAACCTCCTCGAAACCGAATCAGTAAGATCTTTAATACATTGGAGAGAAGTCTTTCCTACATCAACAAACCGCGCTCAAACAAAAAAACTTCTCGACGAACGTTGCTACATTCTCATTATCGCAAACAACAAAGATTTATTAACTGTTATAATGGAAGCGGGGGGTTGCACAGAACCGCCAGAGGACAACATGGGACCCGACGCGTTTTACGTTGAAGAAGTCGAAGCGACTTTATCGCATATTCAAGAATTGGGGGTACAAGAATTCGCTGAAAGGTGGCTTAAAAAAAATACGTCCTCCACGTTATTCGGCGACGGCGTATCTGACGAAAGAAAAAGCGATTACTTATTTGGAAAATTAAAACCAAACCAAAAAAAAACCGAGGTTACCTCAATTTTAAAAAGGCGCGCTTCCGACTTGGGCTTATCCCAAACGGGATCTGTGTTTTCCCTTTCACAGGAAGATGAATTTTCTGAGGATTCCGTTAGTCAAGATGCTTCTTATAGCGAACGAAGCGAATTGAGCGATGAACCGGTGGTTATAGGAAGACGAGCTGTGCGAGAAAAACGGACCAATTTTTACGATGATAACGGCGATTCAGACGTTGACGATTACAGAGAAGGGAGTCAATTAAGTACCGGAAGTTACGATCTATCCGAACTACGCCAAGCTTTACTCATTGAAACTGAAAGTACTCAACCGGTTTATATAGGTGTTGGAGATCCTAATGTTTTGTACCATTATGTACAATTCGATGAAATCGAAGGGGTTTTATTAATGTTGCCAAAAATGGCTGGTTCCAATCTATTTATTGATACTATTATGGATAATTTTCGATGTTGTTGTTTGAGGATTAGGAAGTTGTTTCAAAATACTTTGAGATTTAAGGTATGCCTTGATTTTACATTAATGGTAATAACAATTTATTTATTATAACCTACATTTTTTTTAATTATATTATTGCTTGCAATGATCAGCACTTTTAAAAATGAATACAGCTATAAGTTTTCATTGTCACTGTTCTCTAGAAAAGTTCTACTGATAAAAGTTGGGTCACATTCTGATAGTAAACTGTGCAATAATAATGATGATAATGCTGTTTGAATACTTGGTAATAAAAAGAATCTATACAGAGCAGAGGAAAACTAGAAAGATTGTTATCTTGTAATCCATAACAGTATTTGGTCATCTGTTGGCGTCCACTGTTTGGTTGGTTAAATTTTGAAAATGCTTCTGCTAAGCCACTCACTATAAATATTTTTGACTTTCGTACTGCTTTATCCTGTACGCCTTCACCTTATCTTTTTCTACTAAAGCCAACAGTACATAGTTTCCAATATTACATGTTATAACATATATATAAACTTGCTCAACCAATATGACTTGCCCTTATGGTGACTTATTGGGTTTGGTTTACAACCGTGAGTGTGACTGTTATATTATTGTACTATCGTATCATTATTTATCATATTGGGTAGATTCCAATCTTCCTCTTATAGTGCGGGTGTTGACGATCATTCTGGCTATCACAACCTTGTTCACTGCTGCATGGAATAGTCCTGTTGTTGTTGATATTCTGAGAAAACGTTGAATAATAAACGGGATAGATAATACGCATATCTACCTTACTCCTCATGAGAGGATGCCATTTGATCCCAATATATTTAGAAATTAGGCATTTCTGAACTTTTGTTTCATTAATATCCATAAAGATAATTATATATTCTTTCTTTCAGAATATGTCAACTCAAGATATGGCTAAATCGTTAATGAATAAAACGTTAATTGCAATAAAAGAACATGGAATTCTGTTTGAATATATCCATGAAGGTTTAAATACAAAAAAATCCTACAAAACTACTTATTGGGTTGTAGGAAGGCTATTTTACATGCCATATCAAAGGGAATTATACGTTTGTTATCAAGATACGATTCCACAAAATTTAGTCGACATGGCGTTTAAATTGGGTGCGAATTAAGTTGATAATAAAATTGTTCAATTCAAGCACATTATCTAGTTTATTTCAAAGATACTATGTTAAACAATATTTTTATTTTATAGAACATATTTAAAAAGATTTCAGTATTAAGGAACGTTTTTATTATTTATTAGGTTGATTAGAAATAGTAAATAATTTTTATGAGCAATTTTATTACAAAAAATAGTATTTTTATAAGATAAAAAGATTATATGATTCAAAATATACTATAATTAGATTTTTTAGACCTCACTCAATTTCCCCTTTATAATTGATGGTTAAAAAGATTTTAAAGCGTATATATTAATTAATCTTAATTAAATAATATCATTTTATTTTGACTTAATCAATTGGAATTAATTTAACAACAGCTCCAGCCATTTTCATTCCGTAATGTCCAGCCCAAAATTGTGTGTCTTGACCGCAATGTCTAAACTCGATTGACTCAACGTTTGCTGAATTACTATCGATATCCAATACGATCTACAATTAAAGTTTCAAATATTGTTAAATAGAATACTAAACGATAAGTTAAAGACAAAATTGACAATTTGACATTCTAAATGACATATTTACCTTATTTTTTGCTACCAATTGACATTCTAACTGTTAAATTTAATTATTTTGCATCACAAGAAGATTTTAATGTTAAAAGTGTCATTTGAATGACATCTTACATCACGTTCAGTGTCAATCACGCGATATGTGATGCGAATTCTCACCAAACCGCGGATCACACGATATCGTGTGGAAAAGACTAACAAGGGAAGTATCAGAACTGTCCCTCACCGATTTTGTTGAAATTTGGTACAGCGATAGTATGGGCAAAAATAAGGTTTACGTATTTTTTTATACGTGTTAATAAAGCCCCTGGGGCGAGTTATAAGGGTTGGAAATCGGGGCGAAATATATATATTCACTTATAGGCTGAAAACGAAAATAGCTATCGAAATGTGGTAAATGTAAACTGATATTCATTTTCAAAGAGCTTTCCATTGATATATCACACATATATCTGAGGGCTCCAGGGGGTAAACCACCCCTAGTTTTTTGGAATATTTTAAAAACTACCCTGTCGATTTTGTCGATATTATGTGTCCTTATAGTACGTTTAAAAATACTAATGACGTGTTTTTTCTTATTTGCCTCTGACCATCCCCTGCAAAATTACGGGGTATGATAGATAACCCGTTTCCTTAAGAATAATGTGATAAACTGTTACACTTTTGAACAATATTTTGAAGAAAACCATAAATTAGTTGTAAATTAAGATTTACGCAGTAAAATAAACCCTATACGACATTAAGGGGTGCTGGGGTTGGTACCCCTAACCACCCCAAAAATTAATTTTTTTTGCGAAAATTGTTTGTCGATTTTGGTTCAATTTCCTACTATGATTTTTTTATACGTTAGGTAATACTACTGTAAGAACTTACAAGGGTTAGAAGTTTGGGGTAGAAAATATATTTTCGCTAATAACTTTCATACTCTTACAGAAAAATGTTTTTTATCCCCATTCTATTTAAATAACACAAAAGTTAGGATAATTATATAAATATTTATTAATAATGAGTTAAAAAGTAACTGACAAAAGAATGGTTGACTATCACAAATTGTATTCTACGTTATTAATTTAATTTCTTTTTTTTTACTTTTTTTATTCAATATATTGTTGGCAATAATGAAAATCATAGAAAAAATTTTTTAAACACAACGATTGTTATAACTTGTACATAGTGTAGCACAAGTTATAACAACTATATCTTCACAGATATCGCACGTAGGTTTTTCATTGAAAAAGCAAATCACCACGGGATTTTCAAACTGTTCTGGTCTCTCCTCTGTATATCCAGATGCAAACCAAGCGTATTTAAAAAAAAATAAATCGTGGGGAAAACAACTGGTTATACGTTAAGCATTGCAATTTTAAAATATTATCTCGCTGATGCAAATTGACATCGTACTGGTAGAGAATAACTTGATTAGAAAATCTTCTAATGAAATTTTTCCATATTCTAAAGCCAAATACATCCAGGGGTTGAATTTGACCTGTTGTCCCTGCAGGTATAGACAAATATTTAAACTTAACATCCTATACTTCATATACTTCACTAATAATTTCAGGGCAGTGGTCACTCCAAGAATCCAGTAATAGTAATGATTTGGGTCCGGTATTTGGGAAATAGACATTTTGTAGCCAATTTTTCATATAAGCAGAAGTCAGTTTACCAGACTTTGATGCCAAAACGAATATGTTATCTGCTTTGAACATTGTATTTATTACCCTCAGATTTAACACAACTGATAGAAACAATGATTAAAATAAATTAAATAAAAATAAATTTAAAAAAAATACTAAACTAACAATGTAGAATACAATTTGTGATACTTAAGCATTTTTTTCAGTTGCTTTTTAACTCATTATTAATAAATATTATATAACTTTTGTGTTATTTAAATAGAATAAGGATAAAAAAGCTTTTTCTGTAGGAGTATGAAAGTTATTAGCGAAAGTATATTTTCTACCCCAAACTTCTAACCCTTGTAAGTTTTTACAATAGTACTACCTAACGTATAAAAAAATCATCGTGGTAAATTGCACCAAAATCGACAAACAATTTTCGCAAAAAAATTTAATTTTTGGGGTGGTTAGGGATACCAACCCCAGCCACCCCTTAATGTCGTATAGGGTTTATTTTACTGCGTAAATCTTAATTTACAACTAATTTATGGTTTTCTTCAAAATATTGTTCAAAAGTGTAACAGTTTATCACATTATTCTTAAGGGAAGGGGTTATCTATCATACCCCGTAATTTTGCAGGGGATGGTCAGAGGCAAATAAGAAAAAACAAGTCATTAGTATTTTTAAACGTACTATAAGGACACATAATATCGACAAAATCGACAGGGTAGTTTTTAAAATATTCCAAAAAACTAGGGGTAGTTTACCCCCTAAAGCCCTCAGATATACAGTGCTAGCGTAAAGTAACCCCCCCCCTGTTTAACTTCCGAACAAATTGAGATATCACTATGAACAAAAAAACGTCAGTTTCTATATTTTATCAGCACAAATATTTTCTTATGGAAAATTTTGCCATCACTTTTAGTTTTTCCGGAAAATAGATCAACTTTGTTTTTTTAAATGGAACACCCAGTATATTATGGTATCTTCCGAAAGATGAAAACAATACGAATCCAACGGTACCTCACAATCAAATATCGGTTTATTAGTTTTTCGCATAAAAATTAAACAAAATGCGGAATTTTGCCGGAAAAACCAACGTATCTTCGTCGACTACCTGTCGAAATGCAATCGGCCAGGTAAATGGTGGACGGTCGGTATACGCTCGAGCTAAGACGGATTTAAAATTGCAAGTTCAATTACTTATTTTTTTTAGAAATGAAATAAAAGTTGTTTGGAAGTATATTAAATTTATGAATTAATCATATTTTATCAAAAAATATTTATAAAGAAAAAAAGTCAATATAAGAAATGAAATTTTCTTATTAAAGATTTTGCTAGTATAGGTAACGGTTGAAAAATTTGCTTAGTGTTGTTATTGAATAATAAAAGAATTTTTTATTTATTAAGAATCAAATATTAAGTAAATTGTTCGATATGATTACCTTGAACTTCTAGGCAGTGGTACCATCTTTGTAGTGTTTCCTCTCTCACACGGCTTAACATGTGATCAATATTTTGGCAGACGTCAATAATTTTTTGTTTTAAATCCTCAATACTACCCAACGGAATTTCATATACCTTGGATTTTAAATAACCCCATAAAAAGAAATCTAAAGGTGTCAGATCTGGTGATCTTGTTGTCCATTAAAATTTTTATCAAGATAATTTCGTACCATTGGCGCATAATGTGGAGGTGCTCCGTCTTGATGAAACACTAGTTCCATTTCAAAATCGTCAGAATTCTGTTGTACAATTTGCAAAAGTCTTGAAAAAAAAACATTTACTTTCTAATGAAATTGAGTGATAACGTCACGATATTCATGTGGATTAACATCACGCCGATGCAATTTTCCACCCAAAAAGAAAGTACATTCATCACTGAAACAAATATGTTTCAAGTATAATCGATTTCGTTCAACCATATTTGTCATTAGCTCACAAAATTCTGTTCTTCTATATCAGGGTCATCTTCTGTTAATTCATGAAGCATTTTTATTTAAAATGGATGATATTTATTCTTCTTTAAGTATTTCCACGTCGTCCAACAACGACGCGGAAATATTTAACACATCACACGTTGATGCGATAGCAGCAGACGACATCATGGGCACATTAAATACTTCTGTTAATATCTGACGACCAGTTCTTTTGCGGTCTTCGACGCTTCCAGTTTCCAAAAACTTATTCACAAGCTCTCTTAAATATTTTCGACTAATTGGATGTTCAGGAAATCGTTCCTTAAATTGTCGCCCTGTTTCATGTAGATTTCTGTCAGCACGAGCGAATATTAAAATTGCTTCGATATTGTGCTCTAAACTCCTTCTAGCCATTTTGATCTCGCCTTTCTTTGGTTATACTTGGTCGGGTAGAATTCAAAGATAGAAATGAAGGAAAATATTTGCATGCTGCCTTAAATACAAAATTTCAAAGTACCTACAAACTTTAAAATTGTTGTTATGACAATTTTTTCTTAGAAGTTTTAAAAAGAACTTTCTTTTTATCCTTTTCTTGTATTGATTGTTTCATAAAAACATTCTAAAAGAATTGCTGATTTTAACCCTGCTTAATCCGAGCGTAGACCGACCTTTAACTGACCGTCCACCATTTATCTGGCCCATTGTATCTCGACAGGTAGTCAACGAAGATACGTTGGTTTTTCCGGCGAAATTCCGCATTTTGTTTAATTTTTATGTAAAAAACTAATAAACCGATATTTGATTGTGAGGTATCGTTGAATTCGTATTGTTTTATTCTTTCGAAAGATACCATAATATACTGGGTGTTCCATTTAAAAAAACAAAGCTGTTCCATTTTCCGGAAAAACTAAAAGTGATACCAAAATTTTCCATAAGAAAATATTTGTGCTGATAAAATATAGAAACTGACGTTTTTTTGTTCATATTGATATCTCAATCTGTTCAGAAGTTAAACAGGGGGGGGGTTACTTTACGCTAGCACTGTATGTGTGATATATCAATGTAAAGCTCTTTGAAAATGAATATTAGTTTATATTTACCACATGTCGATAGCTATTTTCGTTTTCAGCCTATAAGCGAATATATATATTTCGCCCTGATTTCCAACCCTTATAACTCGCCCCAGGGGCTTTATTAGCACGTATAAAAAAATACGTAAACCTTATTTTTGGCCATACTATCGCTGTACCAAATTTCAACAAAATCGGTGAGGGACAGTTCTGATACTTCCCTTGTAAGAAAAAAAAAAAAAGGATTTGACCACCACACGAAATTTCAATTTTCTGCTTGGCAATGAACGTGTTAAAGATTAAATTTACAATTTTCTTACAATTTAACATTTGAAATAACATGTCAACCTCAATTTTTACCACTAATTGACGTTCTAACTGTCAAATTTGATCATTTTGCATCTCAAGATTTTAATATCAAACGTGACATTCAATTTGATATAAGTGACAAATTCACCTTATTCTCTGCTACCAATTTATTGATGTTCTAACTGTCAAACTTGACAGTCATTTTACATCACAAGTAGACTATTTAACCATTTAACCTCTTAATCTACGATTTAGGTACGAGAATTTTGGGCCGAAAACGTTAACAAGCTTGCGCAGCCTTCGAGCCATTCGCATATCATCGTACTACGGGCTATGCCCGAAGTTGTAGGTTAAGGGGTTAAAAACATTTATATTTACCTTTTTCCATTCAGGATTACACCATTGTTCTTCACGATGTTCCCCAACAACTTCTTGTACAGTACCATCTTTCCCTTTTAAACTCAATTTAACCCAATAAGCAGCCCCACAATCAAACCTAGCACAAACCCACTCTGAAGCATGCACAGTGACCCTATGTTTCATTACAAATCCCACATCATCATCACCAGATGTATCAACAACCTGGATTTTTTCACATGGTCTATACGAAGTAGCAAAACACGATGTGTGTCCTTTAAATTCAGGTGCATCAGGAAGCGGTGGTGACCCCGACGGTGGATTTTCTATTTTAAATTTATCGCCATCGTTCCATAATATTTTCCAATGTTTAAATTTTGTTTCGCCATTAACATTTTGAAGTAAGTTTCGATTGAACACATTTCCATATAAGCGAATAATTAAGTAACGTAGCGATAAGTTTTCGGTGGATTTGTGAAATCTGGTTTGATATAAATGGTGAATAGTTTCGACGGAGAGTGTGTCCCAATTTTTGCAAACCAAACGTGCTTTTAAAATATCTTTCCGCGGGAGGTATTCAAATATTTTCGAAATTAGATCGTCGGGGATTATCGAATTCGATAAAACGCGACCATTTAATTGTTCGTATTCGTATCGGGGAGACTCCATAAAACGTTCCAATAAAGTATGCTGGAATAACAAAGATTTAGTATGGAATAATAATGTTTTAAAAACTTACTTTAATAAAGTTTATCATCAAGTTTGATATTTATAGAAATTAACTAAGAAGATCTTCAAATGATTCACCATAAAAAAAAAACTAATTAATGATTTTAAGTTTTACTTTATCAAATCGATTTTGCGTTTTTAAATGATTTAGAAATCAATGAGGAAATGTTCTTCACAAGTTTTTTTTTTAATAAGAAATATATTTTGACAACGAAGCGTTTGAATTAACCTAAATTACTTAACCTCACTTTTTACTGTCAAAACACTAATTTGTATATGTAACTCTGGTTGCCTATATATTTTTATTTCTCAAAAGTATTAACAAAATTTATAGTCATTAAACGATCGGATAAAAAGCAGAAGTAGCAACTCCGCAATGATTTCCTTTATCTTTAGCCAATTTCAAATAACCATCTTCACCCCAATTAGTACCGTACGAATTCTTAATCAACCAATACTTTTCGCCGTTTTCCACTCCGTAGCCAACAACCAAAACGGCATGATTCACGTCATCCTCGCCATTTTTACAGTCTTTGTCATAATAAACTCCGCGAGAGTACAATTGCATGGTATTTAATCCGGCGTTAATGGCTACGCTTACTGGACCTTTTTTCGCCACAGCTTCCATCAAAGCTTTCTCATCACCTGGCGGTATTAACGCATATCCTATAATAATAAAAATTATGTAGCTAGTTAGTGACTAATTAATGAAAAATTTTTAAAACCTTTTGCTGATGCGGCACTAGTTTTCGAATCAAACCTACATTGCCCATCTTTTGCTTCAAACGGATAATCCCCCAAGATATTTATTCCGTTATCCTTAACGTAACTGAAAGAATCATCCACATAACCTCCGCCACAACCCCAAATTGAATAATTAGCTTTTGCGCAATCCATTATGTTCTGCGGGCTAAGTTCTTTTAAGGTGTTAGATTTTATAAAATTATGGCCTTCAAGTGCACCAGCCTAAATAACAAGAAATAGTAACAATTAAGATTATTTCAAATCAATTCATGTTTTAGTTACAGCACTAAACGCATAGCATGAAGCACATTTTTCTTGACTTTTAACGGGAGTAACGGCCCCTTTTTGCCTCCAATCAACGTTTTCGGGTAATTGATCGGTTGTTGCAGTTTCAATTTTATCCGGTTTTTGTGTGTTTGATTTTTTCGGTCGGCTTGCGTATCCGTTGAAGAATTTGTTAAATTCATCGAGTACTAAATCGGCGAGATCTGTGAGTTTTAAATCAAACGAACTTTTGCCACTAACGAAATCCTTTGCGTGTTGAGTAACCAATTGGAAATTTTTAGTAAAAATATCTTTGCGTTTGGCGAGTTCTGCAGGGTTCGCATAAGATGCGACATTTAGATGCTTCGTCCACTCAGAATTAAGTGTTATTAAATCTTCTGGCGATAACGGGAGGTTTTTAACGGCATTGGTAGCTGCATTCGTCAAAGTCGATATGGGATTAAGTGGTTTGAAACCAAATTGGGATCGGGTTGGAGTTAAATAGAAAAATAATAAAAATACAAAATAGAAATTCCTAGAAATAATAAGGGAAATTATTAAATAATCAAATCTAATTTTTTTTGCTTACATAATTAAACTTTTTCTAAAGTTAAAGTCGCAAAACCAAATCACACACTCAATCTTTTCCTGCCGAGATTTCTTTTTATACCTACTCTGTATTTAAAGATTTAGATTGATGATGGAAGATGTGCGAAGAAAACAGGTTACGACTTAATTGTGTAATAATTAACTTCCATCCTTGTATCCTTCAAGTTTTAAATAAAAAATCACATGTTAGATCTCTCTCTAGTTGATACATAAAAGAGCGAATAAATTAAAACGAAGCAATAGTTAGAATGTATCTACATATTATAATCTTAATTGTTTTATTTTTATTTTGAAGGTCTAATGTTAAGAATTAACATTATTAAATAAAAAGTCACCCCATTTAGCGATATTGTTACCCTTATTAACGATTCAATTCATCCTAAAATTGTGATTTTATCTTTAAAAAACTTTAATTGCTCCTTAAACCCCATCAACACACCTTTTTAAGCACCCAAACTACTTATTTAAAGTGAGTAGTCCCCCAAACTTTAACTAGTTTATAGACACTTTTAATGTTCTTATTTGTTTACATGATTGGCTACTCCCAATTATTTCCTTTAATGTGATGCTAACGAAAATTTCTCGAGTCTTAATGTATTCAAAATTAAGTTGTTCACAACAACTCAAACGGTTTCGTTGCATAATAAAGATAATAAAACACGTTTTTAAACGAGATGATGTCATAATCTTCCTTAAAGGTTACTTGTATTTCATTCGAAATCCCAGAAAAAAACCAACATTTTTCATTTTAATCTTTTTAATGTACCAAATTAAACAAAATTAAAAAGTACTAAAGCTTTACACTAGTTTAAATGTATATTAATTTAAATAATTGTAAATAACATATCGGTCACCACAATGGCAAATACACAATTTTAGTATTTTTTTTTATCCATAACTATAAGAAGATAACCCTTTATTTTGTATTGCCATTGTAACGGCTGTGCTTAAAAACTCAACTTGATCGGTTTCAACGGTATTACTAACCCCGTTTAATTCATCAACCCCCTCAAATTGCTTATTTTGATAATTTTCTGTTGATTCCTGTTGATAATCACTTATATTTTCACATGAATCAAAATAGTTTCGTGTATTGTGCCTTGAATTGTTGGATTGCAACCCATGCGATTGAATCGCCATCATTATCCCTTCATCTTCCACCTGACCGCTATCACAATTATTTTCAACAAAATCATTTGCTTCTGTAGGTGCTAATTTCCACTGCTCCAAAATAGTATTGATCGTATTATCGATAAAACTTTTAGCAACCTGTCTTGCTTGCCATTTTTGTAAAAAATCATCGTGATTTTCACGCCGTGGTCGAACCATCGTAATTGGAATGTCTTCGTGGTCGCTTGAATCATCTCGTAGAAAATTATTTGAATGAGCGATTAAACTATTGATGCATTTTGTGCATTTATCGTCGGATTTTTCGGTTAAAACCGGCTTAACGGGAGATTGATTTATTTTATTAACGTTTTCGTTTGATTTCGAGGTGGAAATTTCATTTTGAGAGGAGTATTTATCTTTTAAATGATACTTCCCTTTCAATTGCCATACATATTTAGCTTTTTTTAAAGGACGTTCATTTTCATCCGAAGTCGTCGGATTTGTTTTTTTTGAGGATTCCCCTTTTTCATATCGCCTCATTTTTATATTTTCTACTTTCTTTTATCACATCAATTCTAAAAAAAAATAAATTTTAAATTTTTTTATAACCTAACTTTTTGACGTTTAAAACGTCAATTTTTATTTTTAAGGTTAATTAAAATAATTAAAAAGAAAACAAACAATTAAATAAACACTGAATAATTAGCAGTTAATAAACTTGTAAATAGTTTTAAAAAACATTTTTTAAATGATTAAAATAAAAATTGGAAGGAATGACTTACCTCAACAGTGTTATTGATTCCTTTCATTTCCGCAACGTTAAACATAATCTTTTGTTATATATTTTAATTGAATAGATACATAGTGGTCGTTAATAACGTTTAAAATGATGATTAGGGTGATTAATAATTAATAAAACTTGGGGTTAACTCCACAAAAACGTAAACAGATCGGTTCGCTCATTAAACTTGACAGAAGTTATTTGCATATAAAAAGGATCACTCACGAGAAGTTAGCCGCGCTAATTGAAGTTCAAAAAATACTTATTTATTAACTAAATTTATTGTAAGAGAATGTGGAATGAATAAATTGATATTTAAAAAGTAACCTTTAATTTAATTTGTCAAATGTATTGAAGAAGACGCAAAGTTTCGATTGATTTTATTTTAACTTTAATAAATAGAAATAGATTTTTTGTTACTAAAACATATTACTTTTAATTGCAACTACAATTAAAAAGATAAAATAAATTCGTTTTAGCAGTCTAAAATAATATATAAACAGTTTTATAATCCAACATATAATCAAACGAACCTTTTTCGTTTACGTCAAAATTGTATAAAACTCTATGTGACGTGTCGGTTTTAATTTCCTTTAAAAATGAAGCTTTGGGAAGGTTTAAGCTTTTTAATCCTTTCAACGTTCATCTTAAACGTTGATGCTTTATATTTCCATATTGGAGAAACAGAGCGGAAATGCTTTATAGAAGAAATCCCGGATGAAACGAAAGTTATAGGTACATAACCTCAATTTTATTAAAAGCTAAAATTAATCCTTTCAATTTTGATATATTCTTTAGTGAATTATAAAGTTGAATTATACGATCCAAAAAGCGGTGGTTTTATGCCATCAACACCTGGAATTGGGATGCATGTGGAAGTTCGTGACCCAGATGATAAAATGTTGCTGTCCCGTGTTTATAGTTCCGAGGGACAAATCTCATTCACCTCGCATACGCCTGGCGAACACGTTATCTGCATGTACTCTAATAGTACCGCTTGGTTTAGCGGCTCCCAATTAAGGGTTCATCTTGATATTCAAGTTGGTGAACATGCAATTAATTATGGAGATGTTGTCCAGAAGGAAAAGTTGACGGAATTGCAGTTAAGAATACGTCAATTACTTGATCAAGTAGAACAGATTACAAAGGAACAAAATTATCAACGGGTACTAAATTAAAATTAGATTTAGAATTTGATTTAACCAAGATTATTTTGATATTTGTTCTAGTTTCGGGAGGAAAGGTTTAGGCAGACGAGTGAAAGCACTAATTCAAGAGTGTTTTATTGGTCCATTGCTCAAATTGTTGTTTTGTTAGGTATGGGCTTCTGGCAAACTAGGCATCTGAAGAAATTCTTTGAAGCTAAAAAATTAGTTTGAGGTTATGTATTTATTTTTTAAGGTTTTTCGTTTGATTTTTTTTTAATAAAAACCTCTTAAAAACTTTGTAGTTTTATTAAGACCTTCAATTTGAGATATCTTAGGCTTTTCAACCAATGTTTTAACTCAATAAATCGCTTAATGTTATTTTGGAGGTTATGGTGTATTGGATAGATTCAAATTTAAACGTTAATATCTAGAAAATAACTAACTAAATTCAAATAAATTGTTGTATTAAATAATTAAAATTTTTAACTTGCAAATGCAAACACAAAAAATACTTGTTGGGTATTCCCAACCTTTATGTACTAAATAGCAAAATGATTTATTTATTTATTGATAACATCCTTTTTTAACACCATTATCTCAAGATAATTATAATTAATTTTATGATTCAACCTCAATAATTGAGTAACTAGTAAAGATATTGTTAAAAAAATGTTGGGTAAGATAAAAGACGTAATTTAAAATCGTTTTTGAGATATCTTTCAAAATTTGTGCTATATCAGTGGTGAGCTTAATAATTGTTAAAACTGTTAATATATCAAGAACGATTGCCAATACGAAAAAAAGTTATTCTTTCGTTTCGACTCAAAGTTAAATTTTATATAAGAAAATTCAGTTCTACAAATTAATTTTAATCACACCTTGATAATTATTAAGTTAAAAAATGATTCAATATCAGTAAGTGAGTAACGAATCAAAATATTGTTTAAGAAAATGTTGGGTAAGATAAAAGACGTGGTTTAAAGTCGAAAATAAAGAATAAATTTTTTTGTTAGCACAACTAGTTCTTGAGATATCTTTAAAAATGTGTGCTATATCAGTGGTGGGGTTAATAATTGTTAAAACTGTTAATATCTCAAGAACAATTGGCGAGGTTTGAGTCAAAATTGAATTTTGAAAACTGAGTTTTACAAACAATATTTTAATCAATCATGATATTTATTAAGTAATATCTTAAATAAAATAAGTAGCAGTTAACATTTACAATTGCTTCTTAGTTAAATTATCCTTCACAATATTACGGGTTGAGCAACAAACATCTAATAAATGTTCGCAAGGTGCTTTTCCATTTACATCAATAAATCCTTCTTCAACATCAGAAGAATTACACTGATAATAAGGAACACATTTACATTCACGTTTGGCTATTATCGGTTTTTGGGGTAAATTTTTATTTTCTTCAGTTCCAACCTTAAAAACTTCTTTAATGAGATCATCGATCTCGTCTGCTTGCACAATTTGTATTAAAGCAATAATTGAGATAACTAAAACAAAATGCTTCATAATTGATGTTTATAGATTAAGATAATCTGTAAATTGATTGAAATAAATTTATTGAAATTAATTAATCAGCTAATAAACTCACCAGATTACAAAAACAAAATCTTAAAGAATATTTGTTGAGATTCTTAGGAGTTTGAATATAAACTGGTCTTAAACAAACCGGTTTTAACGTTTTAATACCAGTTTAAAACCGCAACATTATTTCATGAGTAAGGCTGGGCACACGCGGTCGATTTTCAGTGGACCGATAGTTTAGTCGATGGGCAGAAATATATTAAGTTTAAATCTAAAAATTGAGTTGATCTGCAGTTGTGTTGTATGTGCACATATATTAAAGTTAATACATTTATGTCCATCGACTTAACTATCGGCCGACTGAAAATCGACCGTGTGTGCCTAGCCTTATCCTATTTCTTTTTGTATAAATTATAAGTTGTTTTGTTACACAGAGTAATCTGTGTTTTGTTGATTAGATTAAAAATAGTGCATCGTTTGTATTACTCATGACATGCATTAGCATTGCTTCAATAACAACTTTTTTGTTGAATGATTTCTTTGAATTGATTAAAGAGTTTGAGGTGTAAAAATTCAAAGTCATCAATAACTTCATTACAAGTTTATTAAAAATTTGAAATACAAATTAATCCTTTATATCCAACACCTTCTTATTAATGTTAAAGTTTGTTATTTACGTATGGCATCTGACCTATATATTTTAAAAAGGTTTATTCCCTCTAATTCCTCAGTTGAGTACTTGATTAATTCTTCCGTTGGTTCTCCAATTAATTTCTGAGTTGATTTTTCGATTAATTCTTCAGTTGGTTCCTCAACTAGTTTCTCAGTTGATTTCTCAATTAATTCTTCAGTTGGTTCCGCAATTAACTCCTCACTTGACTTCTCACTTAATTCTTTACTTGACTCCTCATTAAAGTTTTCATCATACACATCATTAAACTTCTCAACTACCCCCTGAATAGTTTCCTCATTGATCACCTCATTTGAATAATCTTGAATAGCTTCTGTACAGCATACATGTAATAAATCATCACATGTTACTTCTGTATGTATTTCAGATAAGGAAGCACACCAATCTCGGTGAATACAGGTACAAATGCTTTTGGTTTTATATGGTAAAAAAAAAAATTTCTTGTAAGGCAATTTATCAAAGCCATCTTCAATACGATTGGTGTTTTCGTCTGCTTGAACAAGTAGTATAAAAGCAATGATTGAAATAATCATTAGGAAGAAACACTTCATTATTCAGCACTTTTGACACTTGTTCCAATCTGTAAATACAAGAATGTTAATATACGTTAAAATTCATTTATCAATAAATGCTCACATAATTATCGAAATTAGGTTGAGAAATGTTTAGTGGTGAGTAAAGATTGCTTGAGAACTGATTAAGCGCAGACAGGTTTTTAGTTTTTATACCTGCTCAAAACCAGAAGGCAAATTTAAAAAATGAATACTCAGAAAAGTCTTGGAATCGCTTGAGTAAGTGGAAAAACACGTTACATGTTACCATGAAAAATAGCCGGATGATTTATTAAAACCTTCGAAAGGAGCAAAATACTGAATATAAATCAACTTTTTCATAACTACTAAATAATCAGTAGTTATGAAGAAGTTGATTATTTTGATAGTTTTATTAGTTTAAATAGTTTTATTTTGTAATTTATATCAAGGATTTAGGGGTGTTGTACAAGAAACATGTTTTGCGTTATTATATTGGTATAAATCCTTCTATAACCTCACATCATAACAACACTCGCTTTTTTCCTAATTAATTTTCAATTATAATGCGTTTTGATGATTAAAGGCTGGGATCTGCTTTTATTAAAAGCGATTTTAGACCTTGAGCAGTTATGGTTGGGTTTTACGCACTGTTATGAAACCTATGCATTTGGATTAATATATCGACCCCCATCCGCTGGAATTGGATGTCTGGTCGAACTTGAAAATGTCCTATCTACAATTAATACTGACTTCAACAACGTTATACTAGTTGGAGATGCGAACGTTCGATTCTTTCCGTATGCAAATCCAGAGGTAAATGGACTAAGTCCCATACTCGACATTTTCAACTTAAAACAAGTAATAAAATGTCCCACAAGGGTTACGGAATCTACTGAATCACTAATTGATATCATTTGTATACCAATTGGAGCGCAGGCTCTCGAAGCTGGTGCGAGAGATATGTTAACTTCGACTGATCATAAATGTATTTTTTGTCGAATTGATGTTCCTGGTATACGCTCACAATGTCAGCGATTTATTTGCAGAAGCTATAAGTACTTCAACCATGAACTGTTTGAGATGCATGCATCCTATCTACCGTGGGGTGATGTGTATTTGACGGAGGACATTGATGTCAAGGTTACAATTCTAAATGAATTAATAATCTCTTTGTTCAATGCGCATGCCCCAGTGAAGGATTTCACTGTTACTCGAAAATCACGTCCATACATTACCCCTACGATCAAAGAGATGATCAAATTAAAGCAAAAAGCTTACCAAAAGTTTTCGCGTACTGGTAGTAGCAACCACAGAGGGTACTATACCGATATCAGAAACTATGTCACTTTGGCAATACGTAACGAAAAGAAAGCTTTTTTTGAGGCAGAGATAAATAGTAACGTCAATAATCCCTCAAAATTGTGGCACTTACTGCACACCAATCAGGTGCACTCAAAGAACACCAAGACAATCGACGAATCACTTAAAGATCCAGAGCTAATAAATGATTATTTCGCTAATATTATTCCTTCACCTTTTTTGTCGTTGCACAACCTTGATTCTAATAAACCATATATTTTGGGTGGCAACGACTGTTTTGGTTTCGATGTGGTGAACGACACAGACATCAAAAATAAGCTTAGCACGATAAAATCAAATGCTTGTGGTTTGGATGCAATCGATCTGAAAATGATAAAACTTGTATTGGAGTACTGCCTCCAAGAAATCACTCACATAATGAACTTCTCACTAATATACGGAGTTTATCCGAAACAATGGAAGATCGCTCTAGTAACACCTCTACCTAACGTCACTAGGAGACCTACGACCGATTACTGTGTTACCTATCTTATCTAAAATATTAGAGAAGATTGTTGCTTCACAGCTAGTACATCACCTGAATCATACTAATTTACTCCCACGATGCCAATCTGGATTTCGGGAGAAGTATAGCACAACGACCGCGTTAACTAAAATTGTTAACGATTGGTGCTGTGCCATTGATGCCTCAAGAGTTACCTTCGTTGTATTCCTGGACTTTAGTAAGGCTTTTGATATCATCAATCATCAGCTTCTAATAGCCAAGCTAGTCCGTTATGGATGTAAAGAAGACGTTGGTTCCAGTCATATCTTGTGAACAGATCTCAACATACAAAGATTAATGGTAATATATCTAGCGGTATCCTAGTCAAGCAAGGTGTTCCACAGGGAAGTGTTTTGGGTCCTATATTATTCAACTTATTTACGGCAGACATGCCAAATGTAGTGACGAGCTGTTCGGTTCATCAATACGCGGATGATGCGCAGATTTACATCTCTTGTGATATTATCAGTGTTGATGACACGGTGCGCTTGCTTAACTCTGATTTAAAGAATATTTGTGAGTGGTGTTCTGTTAACGGGTTAATTCTTAACGCGAAAAAAACTATATGTATGTGTGTCGGGTCGGCCAACATTCGCAGAAGAGCAATCGATAATTTATCGGTTCCTATACACCTCAATGGAACTGTCTTAGCGTTCTCTGAATCGACCAACAACTTAGGTCTTACTGTCGACAGTAATCTTAATTTTGCGGAACATGTAAATAAGAAAATTGGTGTGTGCTACTATAAGTTAAAATCGTTATATAAATTTAAGTCATTGTTGTCACCACAATTGAAATGGAGACTTGTTAACTCCTTAATTCTAAGTCAACTTGATTACTGTAGTAACGTTTACTACAATTTTCTATCAGCTACTTTAAAAAATCGTATTCAAATACTTCAGAACAGCGGACTTAGGTTTTCATACTCGATTGATCGTAGAGAACATGTTACCCCCTATTACATAAGATATTCTATCTTAAAAATGGAACCTAGATGTACACTCTTGCTAGCTGTTATGTTATACAATGTAATATTTTACAAATTGCCTTATTATTTATATTGTATCTTAGTACCAAGATCGCAAATACATAATGTTAATCTAAGACAAACGAAGTTGTTGACGATTCCCAAACATAAATCTGCTAAATTTTGTGGTAGCTTTGCGTACAGAGCACCTACAATTTATAATTGCTTTTCAGATGTTTTTCAGTTGAAATCTAATAGATCTTTTAAATGCACCTTGAAGCGCAGGCTTCTTGAGGAACAAGAATCAAAATGTTAAGTTTAATTATTTTTATTTTTATTTATGATTATTTTTATTTTTGTTTTGTTGGTTATTACTTTGATATATATGTATTTATTTTTGGTTTTTTAGTTTTCTAGTAATCAGCTATGCTGTACCCTATATATATATATATATATGATATGTATATACTTTATATGTATATTTCTTTTTGGGCAAATTAAATTAAATTAAACTTGTTTACCACCTAATGAAAGTTAAGAGGAATATTGAGAAAAGGGTTAAGGGTGCATGGCAAGAAGCATCTGAGAACATGTGGCATGATAGGTTGAGTGGAGGTAAGACTAAATAAAGTATTGAGTACTTAGACTTTAACAAATTCTTTACTCATACATAATGGTGTATTCAATAATACATTTGGTAAATTCGTAATTAATATAAAAATAAATAATAAATCCCAACCCAAATTAATTTAACATAATTTTATACAACTTTAATTTCGTAACTTAGCTAATTGCTCTAAAATATCATCATCGGTCGTTTTAGCTTTAGAACTTTCACCCAATTTGCCTTTACTAGGACTCGGAGCATCCGACATCTAAAAATAATAATAAGTTTCAATTTGATTAAAAAAGCAATTAATTTTATCCAAACCCTACCTTTCCACTTATCTCAATACCAATCTCATCGAGAACTTGGTTAACAATCGCATCACTCTGTTCTTCATCATCAGATTCGTTTAAGATATCATCAAACGTATCATTAACTAAAAAAAAGAAGATTAAATTGAACAATTAAATAATTTCGTTTTAACTCACTCATTTCTTCCGTCATTTCCATTTTCATATTTTCCTTAGAAAATGAGTTTGCCATTGCACCGACTTGAGCCGGGTTTAAAACGTTGTTCATATCAGCCATGGTTTTACTAGCTAAACCCATTGTGTTTGCTAATTTGACGTTAGCCTGCATATTTTTGCTCTGAATCCCAACACCTTGTATTTTACTGTTCATTGCGAACACACGTGTCTTTTGCTTCCGCAATTGAATTAGTTGTTTTGCCAAAATGGCACATCCTTCTTTGTTACCTGCAGCTGCTAAACGTTTAATTTCAAGTTCCTTAAATTATTAAAATTGAATGGAATAAATGAATTAAATTAAATAATTTCGGTTAATACAATCTTTTTCTCTTCACGTTCCAACTCTCGTTTATCCCTTTCCAAGTCTCTACCGGTTTTTCTTAATTGCCGGTCAACTTTACGTTGTTCTTCTCTTTGGTTTGGTTTCGAGTTCCAATTAAACATTTTGGTTCCAAGTACAATTGATTACTAATAACGTATTTAACCTTGATTAGATGTATATTTGAGGATGACTCATATTTACTTTTTATTGATAATTTGGGGATATTTCGTTTTTAAAGTGTCGTTAATATCAATTCAAATAAATTATAAATAATTTTTATTAAAATATTTAAGTTTAAGGAAGAGATTTTGAGTTTTGTAATGAATTTTTGACAACTAACCTTAAAAATATTCCTGTCAAAACATAAATCTAACCTCACAATTTATAATCAAACCTAATTTTAACAACTTACTGGTAAAAATATTTATTAATTTAGTAATAATATATTTAATATTAATTAAACATTAAAGATATTTTTATTTAACTTTAAATAATTACTTTTTTAGGTAGCCTTTCAAAATTGGCAATTAATCTAACCTAAAAAATATCTGTCATGTATTAAATCATCGTCATCAATTAAAATCCGTTTAAAACTTACGTGTAAGTTTCTATTTGGTTATAAACTTAGCACGAAACTAAATACTTTCTATTTTAGCTTATATAATGTGAATATTTAACAAAATTATTTTGGTGAGTCAAAATGCAGCTAGATTTTTGGAAAACTCTTGTTTATGTGCTCACCTTTATAACCTACGTTTATTCGGGTTTTGGTGCTGGAATTCTGGGTAACATCCGAGACGCAGTCGTTTCAGCACAAAACGTTTTCGGTGACACGTTCTCGAATATAATCAATGTAGCGAAGAAATTCAAGAATCTTAACGACGTTTTTGATGCGGCTGTGAATGAAGATTGTGTTTACAAGTGCCCGGTGAATGGGGTACAACCCCGACCTAATAAAAACCACGTTCCTAAAGCCGACGGTTGCGGATCGTTGGGTTTAAGCATTAAAAGCGAATTCCTTCCTATAGCTGATATGACGAAATGTTGTGATGATCATGATATTTGCTACGATACATGTAACAAAGACAAAGAAATGTGCGATATTGAATTTAAAAAGTGTTTGTATAGGTATTGTGATAAGTATCAGAAAAGTGTTGGGGAGAATGTTGTTAAAGGTTGGTTTTATTTTATTTCGTTTGATATATGTTTAATTTTTTTATTTTTAGGTTGTAAGGCGGCTGCAAAGTTGTTGTTTACTGGTACTTTAACATTGGGTTGTAAATCTTATTTAGACGCCCAAAAAAAGGCGTGTTTTTGCCCTAATATTGGATGGAAAGATAATCGTAATAAAAAATATGCTAAAGGTGATGGAGAATTATAAAAAGATTGTGATAATTTAACTTAATTTTTTGGTTTTTGTTGGAATGTTAAATAAAAATGTGGTGGATTTGTTTGTATTCATTTTTCTTGTTCTTTGTGTTGGTAAGACAAATACAGGGTGATTCACATAAGAACCGACACAGAGCAGGGACATGTAGGGGACAATAAATTAAGATGATTTAACGCAACTTATCTCTATACTAAGTTGTACCCCTGAGGAGTTATAGGCCTTCAAAGTTGGGTCTTACATTTTTAAAACATTGAATATCTTTGTAATACATTAAGCTAGAAAAACCAAATTTGGTATACGTTATCAGTGTACCGAGGATATTAATTGGTAGCAAGTTGAAACCAATTGAGGCATTTCAAAGGGTTGATTAAGGGTGATGGTCCCCTAAATTTGGACAGATTTTTTTAACCTTTTGATGGATTTAATACATTATTACCTCATTTCATGTGGAATTTATTTCTAAAACTTTCTTTACTCTTATTATTTTTTAAAAAACATTGTTGTTTTCATAAAAAACTCAAATAACTAAAGACACGTATTTCGTTAATGCTATTAAAATCATCGAAAATTCAGTAGTCGGCTGTGAAATTGTACGTCAAACTTGACAAATAGGTTATAAAACCTTGTTGTCAAACAATTTTATAACCTATTTGTCAAGTTTGACGTACAATTTCATAGCCGACTATTGAATTTTCGCTTATTTTAAATAAGATTACGAAATAAGTGTCTTTAGTTATTTAAGTTTTTCATGAAAACGACAAAGTTTTTTAAAAAATAATAAGAATAAGAAAAGTTTTAGAATTAAATACCACATGAAATTAAGTAGTAATGTATTAAATCCGTCAAAAGGTTAAAAAGATCAGTCAAAATTTAGAGTACCATCACCCTTAATCAACCCTTTGAAATGTCTGAAATGTCCCTGTGAAATGATTTCGAAGATATTGAACTTTTTAAAAATTTAAGAGCCAACTTTGAAGGCCTATAACTCCTGAGGTGTACAACTTAGTATAGAGGTAAGCTACTTTAAATCATCTTAATTTATTGTCCTCTACATGTTCCTGCTCTGTGTCGGTTCTTATGTGAATCACCCTGTATACACATTTTCAAATCAAAGGTGGGACTTGTCATAGCCCAACCTTAAACACTTTTAACTTTTTGTTATTAATAAAATTATTATTTAATATTTATGAATAAGTACAATATAATTATTTTTCTTAAATTAAAACGCTCCATTCTACCCCCAGAAGTAGTATAAATATCAATAATCAAATATCAATTTGTCCAACCAAAATCGCTCGAACGTGGATTACCACTGTTTTTACCGTATCGTCCGGGTGTATAGGCGTCGTATTTATCAAAAAAGGTTCCGGTGGATTTAAATGTGATAAGACAAGCGTTAAGGAAATTATTAAGAAAAGTATTCATCAGTTCTAAAGCTTGTTTTTGGCCCGTATCTCTTAAACCATGCACTATAATGGATTGGAGATTCGCGTAAACGTACGGATAATCCCAAGTGCCAGATTTAGATTTACTCGCGGGTGTTTCGAATNTTCTTCTTCCTCTGTTATATTTGTGCCAATGTTTGATATTTCAGTAGTTCGCCTTTGCATATAAAAGCCCAATTTTATTGCGTTACATGCGCCCCTAGGATGACCGCGCCCGGGTGCGATGCACCCCTTGCACCCCCTGCACGGCGCGCCCATACTGATCGTCATCGTCATAAACTTTTGTCCAAAGCGGTACTAAGTTACTACAGGTAAAAATTTGCATTCGTTTTTTTGTTTTTAAGTTGTAATCGTACCAAATTCCATCTTCTTCGTCCCATAACACCGAGTTAATCGCTTTTTTTAGGTCCTCCAACCAAAACTTCCTCTTTAATTTTGCGCCCTAATCGAGACCAACTTTCGATTATTTTCCGCGCCATATCTTTGTATTCGACGTTTTTGATTTGAGACATGATTTTCAGGGTGTCCTTGTAATCATCCGGGTGCCAAACTTCGACTAATCGCGATTTTTGGAAAGGCTTCTCCAAAAAATTTTGCATATCGTATTTCGTCGGCTTTCGATTGAACTTTTTCATTAATTCGTTGAAATCTTTTAGGATCGAATCGGCGGTGGTTCCTTCGATTATACTCATATCCAGGAATTCTTTTAATGGGTTATAAATGTTGGCTCTTTGGATGACCGACAATAATTATTGGTCGTTACAAAAGATTCGGTTGTCGCAGGAAGCGATTTGTGTAGTGTTAATTTCATCGTTGGATGAAACGTTTATCATTAAAATTAGAATGAATAAAGAAATTGCCATTCATTCTTAATCTTTTCGATTTCTTTTTATTTTTGACAGCGTTTTGAATTTATAGGTTAGGTTGGGATAGGTTAGGTTACTGACATATGAACGCCGAATTTTTTAAGTCCAGCCAAGTCTAGCTTTGGACACCAGCTCTAGGATGCGCCGTCTTGAGTTAGTTTTAGTCTCGCATAATGCGGACTTCATTATTTATTATTATGTTTTATTTATTAATAATCAATTTACGGTTGATATGATATTAAGTGGAGCGTAATGTATCTTCAAAGCGTCAAATCAGACAACCAATTCAAACGAGTATTAATCCATGTCGAAGCCAAGGCGATTGAATGGGGTATGAACTACACTGACGCCAGAGGTAGGCGAATACTGGAGATGGTGGCTAGAACAGGCTTGACAGTTCTAAACACCGGTAATACTTCCACCTTCAGAAGAACCGGATACGGCGAAACCTATCCAAGCCTAGAAGATTCGTTACTGACGCTATAGAAAACGGTAGGGCTGAAGCACTGAAATGGGAAGTCCCTTGGAGGCTTGGGTACAAGATTGTAATGAAAAAACTGGGAAAAATTTCTTCCCCAGCTGTACTTACCAGTGACGACCTGTTTCCAGAGGCTAACGAACACGAGGGCCGAACCATGAAAGAAGTCGAGGACGTACCCTTAATTGCGGAAACAGAACTAGTAGCAGCAAAGTCGCTTAAGAATAGAAGTTCTCATGAATATGTATAACTGGTGCATAGTGGAATTATAATCGGCTTTAATTAAAATAAAGCGTTATTTTCCTTTAAAAAACGTAGTTTTATTTAATTAATGTTGTAGTGAAAGCAGAGATGACGCCACATCATTCATGTAAGTGTAAAATTTATAAAACCGAAGGATACCAAAAAAATTATGGAAATGAACCTTCTTTTATCGTTAATAAAAAATAAAAAAAATATGCTTTGGAGTAGGATTTCTTTAGTTTTCTTGTCGAATTGTTGGCTTGTTTCGGAGTTGTACTTCTTTGAGGTTAAGTTTCTTTGGGGAGCTTTGTTTGCTCGAAGTAGGATTGCTTTATAGTTTGATTTTCCTAGTAGTTGGATTAAATGTTTTGGGTTTGCCAATAAAAAAAAACAAAAAAAAATTCATTAACTTTCTGTCATCAAATTTACTAATTCTATTGAAGTTTTTACCTGTCGAATTCATTATCAAAAGATTGTGCGATGGAAAATTCGCAAACTGATTTAAAAGAAACTCTTCCAAACGAAAAATTGATAATAACATGGCGACAAATAGGGGCCGCATCTGCAGTCCAACTAAAACGTGATGACGAAAGTTGTGCTTTTGGATCTAATAAATACTTTGCATTGTGCGGTTTGGGGGGTTTAGTTGCGTGCGGATTAACTCACACCTTAATAATCTCCTTGGATATTGTGAAATGTCGGTTACAAGTTGATCCAGGGAAATATAAAAACATAATAAATGGTTTTCAATTAACTTTAGCTGAGGAAGGTTATAAAGGATTAGTTAAAGGATGGGCGCCAACTTTTTTTGGATATTCTCTTCAAGGAGCCGCAAAATTTGGATTTTACGAATTGTTCAAAGTGGTTTACAGCGGATTTTTAAGCGAAGAAAACTATTATTTATATCGCACATTCGTTTATTTAGCCGCATCGGCCACAGCTGAGTGTATAGCCGATGTCGCTTTATGCCCATTTGAATCGATGAAAGTTAAAATACAAACAATTCCGGGTTACGCAGGCACAATGCGCAAAGCAATCCCAAAAATGAAAGCGGAAGAAGGAATTAAGGCGTTCTATAAGAGTTTGGTGCCATTATGGTTAAGACAAATACCATATACAATGGTTAAATTTTCTTCTTTCGAACGAATATTAGAGCTTTTGTATCAATACGCCGTTCCAAAACCAAGGGCTGAGTGTACAGCGGCAGAACAATTAATTGTTACTTTTTCTGCTGGTTATATTGCCGGCATCTTTTGTGCGATTGCTTCACATCCCGCGGATACTATAGTATCAAAATTAAATCAAGAACCGGGTCTTGGCGCTATGGGGATTTTAAATAAACTTGGTTTTGTGGGCGTTTGGAAAGGATTGTTTCCGAGAATTATTATGATCGGAACGTTAACTGCAGCACAATGGTTCATTTATGATGGATTTAAAGTTTTGGTTAGATTACCAAGACCACCACCGATGGCAATGCCTGAATCATTAAAAAAGAAACAAAGTGAACATGCACTGCTTCAAAAGAAAGAAAGTGAACAGGAGATTAAGCAAAAGAAACTGAAACAAGACTGAAAGTGAATCATGATAAATAATATTTTTAAGATTATTTTAAAATGTTTTATATATTTTTTGATGTTGTTCTTTTATTTTTGAGATAAAATAATAACTACCTATAGATCATTTATTATTTATTAATCAAATTATTTGTGTGGTATTTGTATGAGATAATTGTGTTGCATTTGTGATAAAACATATGTATAATATGTGTAAAAGGTAAAATTTGCTACAACTTTTGTTCTAAAATAATAGGAGAACAGAATAATAGAATTGAATAGAATACAATGACTTTTAGTTTAATATTAATGATGTTATTTCTTTTGCATTTAATTGTTTTCAAAGTCTTTTCATGAAATAAATACTTATTTATTAACACTTTATTGATCTATTTATAACTTTATGCGTTAAAAACGCCCAACTATTGATGTTGTTATAAAATCCAAGAATTGTAAAAATTATTGTTTTTATAAAATAAAAAATAAATAAATTTTTAAATTTAATTTTTATTAAATTATATTCTTCTATTTGGTTGTGATAATAAATATTTATATCAATAAACAATGATGATTTTAATTAGTAAATAACTAAAAAAAAGGAAACAAGTTTTTCTATGTCAAAGTCATTTTATCATGGATGAGAAACGATTAAAACTAAATTTACCACCATGGCACGTTCCTTATTTAGAGAAACACCGCATAATGGAACTATTTCACGTAAATATTTCATTAAAACAAACCTCCTTTTATATTTTATTTTTTTAGGAACTCACAAGGGAATTAATTATTCAACAACCTGTAGATCATTTATTATTCATTAAACAAATTCTTTATCGTGCAGCAGCTAGTGTAGGAATTTCAAGGGTGATTATACTCGATTCTCCAAAAGTGAATACTGCGGAAGTTGCGCTTCAAATAGCTCAACAAACAACGCATCATGTGATTACCGAAGATATGCTTTTAAAAACTTGTGGGGTCGCCTCTAGAAATGATTTAAAGCCTGGAGCTTTAGCCGTTTGTCTTTCTTATATGCTTCATATGGAAGAACCACAAAATCACGGTTGGATTTTAGTCGGTTGTATAAAAACGGCAGCGGAAGCTCAAAAAATTTTACAAACCGGAATCGTTCCTACACATGTCATACATTTAATTCCACCTTTTATGCCGAAATTGGATGAATTACTTTATTGTAACGTCCACGCTTATTGGCCGGGGTATCGAAGGGAAATTATGGCGATTAGAGAACTTTTTAAAACCAAATTAACAGTAACTGATTTAATTTAACATCAAATTTAAGAATTCATTTGAAATTTATTTCGTAGGAAATCTATTTACGTCAAAGATTTATTCACGAAGTTGTTAAAGAATGCATTGATGTTATAAAAATTCTAAAAAGCATCGGGTGTCCAAAACAAATTCGATGTGTTATTTTAGGCCCTCGAGGATCGGGAAGAAAAACCCAAGCGAAATTGTTAGTGCAAAAATTCAATTTCGTACATAGTTAAGTAAATTAAAAAATTAATATATTCATTTATAATTATTATTCTTTTTAACACAGTTGATTTTCCGAAATTATTATGCCAACAATGGAACCTACAAAATAAATTTGGAGAAACTTTACGCGCTCAAAAAGATGAGTTGTGTTTTAGATCGGATTTGATGGCGCAAGTTTTAAATAAACGTATCCTTGAAGATGATTGTGTAAATCAAGGATGGGTACTAACCGGATTTCCTTTTAACACGACCGATTTTAAGTATATCGATACGTTAGATACTCCACCAAATAGGTAAGAATTAATATTAAATTCTAAAGATAAAGATTCTTTTAAAATATTAAAATAACCCAAGATCACCAACTTCAAATAAATTATATTAAACCAAGATTGAATTTTTGACATTTGATGTTATGTTGATTTTGTCAAAATGAAACGATTTGAATTGGAAAGTTAATTTCATAAAAGAAATAGTATATTAAAAAACAAGTTTCGTAATGCGTTGAAATGCTTTAAGTCTTATGAAACGTGTTTTTTATGCTATTTTTTGTAATTCGCCTTTTTATCCTTTTTTTTTAACAAAAATAAAATAAATTTTGACAATGTAGGGAAATAGGTATGTAGCAGTTGGTAACAACGTAACACTTGAAAATAGAAATTTGAATGACAAATAGAAACTGTCAAAACACAAAACGTATTCACCTGATAAAAATGTTTCATGTACACCTCCCAAAATAAGAGAAATTGCTCAGAGTTCAATGTCCTCATCATTGTGGACCTTGTATTCGATGTTAAGAACGTGTTTAAACATCCATAGACAAACATTGACAACTAGACAAATTAATGACCCAATGTCACCAACTTGAACTGATTCCATAAAATGTTACTAAAATCTCATTACAGCATCGGATGCTGTAAAGAGTGTCATTACAGCACCCGTTTGAGTACTGTAATAGCTTTCATTACCGTCGCGAATTACAAAAAA